GAGAGAGAGAGAGAGAGAGAGAGAGAGAGAGAGAGAGAGAGAGAGAGAGAGAGAGAGAGAGAGAGAGAGAGAGAGAGATGTTGCAGGACAGGCTATTTGCACTGTGGTGGAGAGGTCTTGCATTGAAATGATGTTCAGTTTTTTTTGTATTACTGAATGAAGAAGTTGATTTCAGGGAGATTACCCCATGCACCACTTCCGTCCCTATTTTTGGCACTCGTTCACGAGTACATATGGAAATGGTCGAATGAATTGCTCGTTTGGGGAAGAGTTGCTCATCGTCTTCTCGCCTTCGTCTGCTTCTCTTTCTTTTCTTTTTTTTTTATGGCAACGGCAACAATTATTTGCACAAATGGTTAGCTCTGTGGAACTTAGTCGAATACGCTTTTTTGTCGATTGACGAAGCAGTGAGTGCCATTACTTTGGAAGTTTGTAATTACCTGTCTTATTACTTAATTAGGTAATTACTAATTACCCACCAATATACCGGAGCATCCATTTCTCTTGCTAGGAGGGGTTGTGCTCTTATCACCTCTCCTAGCAAAGTCACAGGGGTAATTTATAAAAAATAAAAAAATAAAAAAATTGTAATTACCTGTACGTCTAAACCACCAGTACACTGTATCCTCCAGTACGCTTCAGAACTATATCAAGCTAAAAAATTGACAGGTCATAATTGGATTTTTTGGAGGGGGCGCTTACCTTCAGTACAAGGCTGCGCAGGTGGTCGGGACCAGGTGGTCTGTACCAAGTGGTCGGGACTATGGTCCTTTCCGAAATGGAATTGGCTCCGGTAGCTGTGAAAGAGCAAAAGCAAGTGACTGCGAAGTTGCAAACAACAACAAATAAAAAATAAAATAAAAAGGAGAAGTAACTTTGACGCTTAAGCTCAGCTACTGGTCAGATTTCGTGGGGGGCTTTGGGTTTTCCGTACCGGGTTCGATTTCGGGGACCCTTTGGGTTTTCGGGACGGACAACACGGATGTATGTCCGGCTGGACCTTCCGTCCCAACCCTCTACAAAAGTGTGCCGCGCCTCTTTAGGAGACTTTGGCCGTGCATGCTCTCCGTGTGTGTGTGTGTGTGTGTGTGTGTGTGAGAGAGAGAGAGAGAGAGAGAGAGGGAGAGAGGGAGAGAGGGAGGGAGGGAGGGAGGGAGGGAGGGAGAGGCAATCAGTGAACAGAGCAGAGGAGCGACAAACTTCACAGGAACAGAACAGAGAGGACACGGTACACACACGGTCCTGTTGTGTCTGCTCGACTCCAGGAGACACAACAGGACACGGCACACGCACAACGGTTTTGTGTGTGTAGCGAACACGACATGACACGCACAAGAGGCCATTTGTCAGTGTGTCGTGTCATGATCACTACACACAAATCCACAGAAAAGAAAAAAGCACGACAGCGCCAGACTGCCGCGTCAAACTTTCACCATGACCCCGGGTCATCAGGAAGGAGGGTGAACCCTGACTGACAGTCTCCCGAGGAGGACGAGCGCTCGCCATGTTGCCTACCGTCTTCACCCGAATAGAGTTCTGCCTGGTCATTATAGCTGTATTTGGCACAACTTTCGGCCCAGATGCAGCTATAACGACCGGGCGTTCTATTCAGGTGAAGACAGTAGAGTCACCGATACCCTTCATAGAGAAAAGGGGTCACCTTTACTCACACCGACCCTGCAATCCTCGCAGACCTTCTCGGTCCAACCCCCCCTGAGAAGAATGCCAGTAAGTCTGACAAACTACCGGTAGTGTGTGGCACGCATACAACCTCGCTGACCTATACACTCTATACACCCCCACTCTATACACACCCACTCACCCGTGGAAATGCGATACCCTCAACCGAGAAAAGGGGTCAAGCTTTACTCACACCAACCCTGTCCTCCTAGCAGACCTTGTCGATCCAAACCCCTCATGGCAGTGAGTCTGACAAACTCCCATCGTTGTTTTTTTCATGACTACGCCGGACCCGTACCCAGACATTTCCGGACATGGAACCGGACCTGTGTCCGGTAGTTTCCGGACGTCCGGAATTCCGGATATTTTCCGGACCTCCGGACATGGAGGGGGATCCGGACGGTCCGGTTGTCTGGACAGGTCCGGAAATGTCCGGACCATTAAAAAAAATAAAAATAAAAAAATCTGAAAAAAAAGTATGTTATGCAGAATAACAACGCAAACCACTTTTGCCTCAGAGTCGTGTCAGAATTCCTAACCAAACATGAGTTAAAAGTCAAAAACTATAAAAAAGCTTACAAAAAGACTTCAAATTTTAAAAACTAGTAATGAATTATTAATAATTAAAAAAATGGGGTTGTCTAATAAATTGTTATAGAGAGAGAGCATGTCCGGACCCCCCAAAAAAGCATAAACGGGCCTGAAAAACCCCCAAAACAATTTTGGGGGCTTGGCTCCTCAATGGCGAAGGGTCCTGGACCGTTTTTTTTTTTGTTTTTTTTTTTTGTTTGTTTGTTTTGTTTTTTGCCGAAGTTTGGCAGATCCGGACCTTCCGGACCGGACGTCTGGAGTCCGGACTGAATCCAGACCGTCTGGACGGCGGTCCGGACGTCTGGATCGTAGCCACAATTTTTTTTATTTTTTTTATTTTATTTTTTTTTGTTTGTTGCAAGACCCTTGTGTAAGCTCTCTATCCCGACGGTGGTAAGAGAACCATCAGAATTGAGGGCTTATCTGCCGGGCTGCTCCACCCATTGGCAGGGAGCGGCACCTGCTGGAAAACACAACAAACCCTAGTTACATGCGCTCTCTGTCCTCCCCATGGTCACCCATGATCATCCCTCGGCCCAGCACAAGCGACACAGGCTTTCATTCCACGTCTGCCTACGTGATTGTTTGAGGGCATGCAACTAACCCTCCACTACTCTCCAAATGTGCACAACGAGAGTGAATCTTCCGCTGGAACATGGAAAGATGCATCGCCATGATTTTTGTCTTTTGTGCATGTTGAGAGTCGTGGAGCGAGGCCGATTATTGTATGTTGCAACGACTGCCACTCTGAGTGACTTCGTAAAAATGAAGCCCCGCAAAGAAAAGGAGAAAAGCGCATCACACACTGACTGGCATAGCTGTCTGCACACCCACTTGGCCGCTTCCGCACAACCAGAAGACATAGGCTGTGTTTCCTTTTTTTTTTTTTTTTTTTTTTTTTATTTTTTTTTTTTCTGTTTTTTTTTTTTTTATTTTTTTTTTTTTTTTTTTTTTTTCCTTTTTTTTTTTTTTTTTTTTTTTTTTTTTTTTTTTTTTTTTGAAAACAGGAAAGGCTGCTAGGGGAGGTGGTACCCGCATCCCCCCCTAGCAGGTTTCCTAGTTGCTCCAATCTATTGGTGGGGAGCCTCACCTGCTGGAAATGGGGTCCAGCATCCCATCTTACATCAGACTGATATTCAGAAAGTAACTTTAGTGATGCCGCCTGCCAGCTGTTTCCATATTATGTGGATTTGTCTAAGCAACCCTTCCCAGAAGACATAGGGTTTGTTTCCATATGTGGATTTGTCTAAGCAAAAGACCCGGAAGACGTAGGCCTTAAGACATAGGGTTTGTTTCCATATGTGGATTTGTCTAAGCAAAAGACCCGGAAGACGTAGGCTTTGTTTCCATATGTGGATTTGTCTAAGTGCAAAACCCCTGGAAGACATAGGCTTTGTTTTTGTTCTAAGCAAAACCCCCTCCTACACCGCCAACACGCTCGCACTGCTTGATGGAGAACAGAGAAAGGAGAAGAGAAGGGACCGCACCACACCGCACCACACCGCACCACACCCACTTTTCAATTCCGCCCCGAGGTGCTGTGCGGTCTGTTCCCACACGCTCCATTACCATGCACTCGGCTTCTGCCGCCTCAAGGATAGACAGAACAGACCGCACAGCACCTCGGCGGCAGTTCCGGGAGGGCCCCAACTTCCCAGACACACCATTCCGCACACACAGAGCGGGTATAGACAGAGCCCCAGCTCACCCCTCCATCAATCTGCCCGTGCAATGCATTGGTACTGCCCTTAAGCCGCAAGTACCTTTCCCAGCCAAGAAACAAAAAGGCCGCCGGTTACCACGGAGGCCAGCCCTGGCCTTGCACACGGCGGCCAGATCCAGCCCGAATCGTTGGCGTGCAGGCCCACGGCCAACATATGGGAAAGGTACTGGCGGCGTAAACCGCGAGTACACCTCCCAGGAAAACTCGAGAATTGAACAAGAGTCGTTCCAAAAAGTTTGCATGAGGAGTGCTACCGGACCAAACAGGCTGGCGGCACCAGGCAAAAGAGCCAAAAGAGCCCAAAAAAAAT